CGTGGATCCTTAAACCATTAGAAATTAATTTATATTATAATTCTCATGTTCTAATACATATCATACAAATTCAAAAATATAATTAAATCAGAAAAGAGTAAATTTTATGTTAGTAACCTTATAAAACTATAAATAATGTAGTGAACCATCACATAAGTACATGATTGATAATTGTATTTTATTAATGTCATCGTTTTATTTCTCATAGAGATTTATACTCGGCAAACTTAATACAGTATTAACTTAATAATATATATAATATTATTATTTTTTAACTTATATAATTTTTTAATATATACACTTGAAGAGTACTAATGGCGTCATAGGTAAAAAATTTCTATTTTTTTGTGATATTTTGTAACTCTATGTTGATAAAATAAGTTCTTCTATAGATTTTATTTGTATTTTATTTTTTTGCATGGTTGTGTATATTTTTAAATTTTTAAATTGAGATTTCGACAACCATTCTAACTTTTATTTTCTAATTTATATACCTTCTTTTTTATTATTCATTTTTTTATTTATTTAATTAAGATTTTTATTCTATATGTATTATTTGTATATTTTATGGCTCATGTTATGTCTATATTTCAACTTAAACTTTGTTTCTTAATTATTATTGATAATATTAGAAATTTTATTTTTTATTATTTGATTAGTAAATTGATAATTACTTTTCATTTTAAATTTTAAGTTTTAACACATTCTTCACTGATCAATATTATATATATGTCGCGATCTCGTGAGTTATAATTATGTTTACGTGTCATACTGATAAAAATGCATTGCGGTAAATAATTTTGATTTAAAATTTATAACGTCTATAATTTGACAAATGTAATTAGATTCTAAATTACGTCTCACACAAATATTTAATATTTATTTTAGTCTTATATTTTATTAAATAGTCAATTTATTATATTTATCTTATAGTAAAATTATCTCATACAAGTTATTTTAAATTTGTAATATAAAAATTTAGAAATATTACATATTTTAGTAGAACGATTTTTTTTAATTAGTTTATAATCTTTGTTTAGACTATATTTTCTTATTTTATTTTTAAATTTGTTTGCTAATATTGAAATATTACATATTTTAGTAGAACAGTTACATATTTGAGTAGAACAGTCTTTTTTCTTTTTTTTTGAATAGTCTATTCTCATTGTTTATAAAGAAATTTAAAAAAATGTCACTTTTCAAGTGTGATTTTAAAAAAATGCCACACTTTTAAAAATTTTACAAAAATGCCACTTTTTCAAAATTATTTTTTTTTATATCATTTATGTTTGGGTTAATTATGTTCTATCATGGTTTAGTTATGATAGTTTAGGAGGTTTTAGGGGTCAAAACATTTTTTGGGGTTTAGAATTTTAAGATATAGAT